AAAATCATACAGTATTTTTTATTATTGATTTCCAAGTTGTTGGAGTATGGGTGATTGAGGAATAAACACTTTGTTATAGCCCAGATGAACTGACAAGATTAAGATCAAACTTACCTTAATTTTGACTAATTTGGACTCCTAGTGTGGTGTTGGAGGATTAGCACTGGACTGCGAACCACAAGGTCTGTGGTCAAACCCACCATCTATTCCTTGGAAATGCTTTTACAGGTTCACTATGAGTCAGAACTGACTGAATGTCACAACAACAATATTCACTTACTCAGTAGATACATACAGGGCACTTACTGTGGAATAGGCACTGCTGTAAGGCACTAGGGACCTATAATTTATCAATGCAGGCAAATGTCATTAAATTATTAGTACTTACAGTGTAATGAAGGAGTCCTGGTATAGCATTGTAGGATAATCACTAGATTGCTAACTGGAAGGTCAGCAGTTCAAATCTACAATCCATTCCTCAGAAACTCTCTACAGTGTCATATGAGTCAGAGAATATTTAAAGTACCATGGTCTGCCAAATGAACAAACAGATCTGTGTTGGAAGAAGTGCAGCAAGAGTGCTCCTTGGAAGCCAGGATGGCCAGACTTCATCTCTCATACTTTGGACATATTGTCAGGAGAGACCAGTCACTGGAGAAGGATATCATACTTGGTAAAATGGAGGGTCAGAGAAAAAGAGGAAGACCCCCAGCAAGATGGGTTGGCAGAATGGCAGCATCAATGGATTCAAACGTAGCAATGATTGTGAGGTTGGCCCAGGACCGGGCAGTGTTTTGTTCTGTTGTGCATTGGGTCACTATGAGTCGGTACTGACTCAATGCCACCTAACTACAACAACAATGAGTCAGAACTGACTCAATGGCACTTAACAACAACAACAACAACAACAATATGTCGTGAAGGAGCCCTGATGACACTGAATTTAAGCACTCAACTGCTAAGCAAAAGGTCAGCAGTTCAAACCTACAAGCCCCTTGATGGCTGAAAGATGTGGCAGTCTGCTTTGGTAAAGATTATAGCCTTTGAAACCTTATGGGGCAGTTGTATTCGGTCCTGTAGCAGGGGTTCTATGATTTGACAACAGCGGTTTGTTTTTTTGTTTTTTTTCTTTCTAATAGTGTAAAATCTGCTGTGGTGGGTCAGCAGTTCAAATCTATCAGCAGCTCCAAGGGAGAAAGAAGAGGCGTTCTGCTCTCATAAAGATTTATAGCCTCAGAAACCCTATACAAAGTCACTGTGAATTCAAACTGACTTGTCAGCACACAACCACTACCCACCACCTATATACTTCAGAAACCGTATGCAAGGGTTCTATGAGTTGGAACCGACTTAACAACAGCACACAGGCAGCATCCTGGTGTGGTGCTATAGGGTAAACACTGGACTTCTAAACTCAAGGTTGATGGTTTAATCCCATCATATGCTCCTTAGGAACCCTATACAGGGCTGCTATGAGTTGGAATTGACTCAATGACACTTAACAAACATAACATCGTGAAGGTGGTTGTGTACCATTGAGTCAATTCTGACTCATAGCAACCATGTATAGGATTTTTGAGACTGTAAATCTTTACAGGAAGAAGAACACTCATTTTTTTCCTTCAGAGAAGCTGGTAGATTTGAACTGCTGACCTTTAGATTAGCAGCCCAACTCATAATATACTACAAAGGTTCCATCAATAACATATATAGGCAAAAATATCTGAAAAGACATGTAAATTTTTTCAATGGCATGATGATGACAATTTAATATAAAACCAGACAAGAAATTCATAAGGAAGAAAAGTGAACATCCAGTAGATTTGTACTGCTTTCTTACAGAGTAAAGGCTATGTATGTAGAAAGTGGTTGAAGGTGAAACATATATAAGCATGTTGAACTTTGCTAAGTATCAGGATGGAGCATCTTTGATTCAGGCAAAACTAATTTTATGAAAAACAGGCTGATTCAGATGCATTTGAAGTAACCATAGTGACATGAATAAAAATGAATATGCTTAGAACCAGTGCTTCTCAGACACTATTGGTAAGAGTGTAAATTGCTACAGCTATTAGTGAAGGTCACATGGCAATAGCTATCAGTATTTAAAATGGACATGTCCTAGCATTTTAACACATAGGAATAAACACATATGTGTAAAGAGATAGATTAAAAAATATTTAGTACTGTAATTGTTGAAATAGTAAACAACTGGAAAACACCTCCATATTTATTATTGCTTTAAAATGTTATAGTATATTCTGGTAAATCCTATAGTATATTAAAGTACATTTTAAAAGAAAAACTAAAGGTAGAATTGGAAGGATGTTCCAGGTGCTTTGGGCTAAAGAAGCAAGATAAAGAACAGAATATTAATTTTTTTAATTAAACCATTTTCAAACAAGACACACAATTAAGTGGTAGCTACTCAGAAGTCTTGGTGTGATGCAGTGTGTAAAGGCGCTAGACTGCAAAGTCAGTTTGAACTGCAACGTCAACAGGTCAAGCTTACTAGCTACTCCTCGGAAATCCTAGACAGGGTCACGATGGATTGGAACTGACTTGATGACACTACACAAAAGTCAGAAATAAAAATGCCCCAAACTCCAGAATATCTAGAATAATTGACTTTATTTCTATTATTTTCATTTGTTCTTACATTATCAATGTATACTATCACAGAAAAGTTGGAAAACATAAGAAAATAAGAATGCAAATAATATCTGCAATAGAATCCTTTCTAACAATTCTGTACTAATTGGTGGAAATCTACATAAATCCCTTTCTTTCTGATAAAATCCCTTGTTTTCTGTCAAAACTAAGACCACATATTCCTTCATTTAAACTTCTTTTACTTATTTAACAATTAAGATGTTTGGAGAATTTATTCTGTTTCCTAAAAATAACATGTTACTGTTGTTATGTGTTGATTCCGACTCATAGGGACCCTGAATCGGGTTTCTGAGGAGGGACTGGTGAATATGAAACACTGATGTTGCGATTCAGACTGACCTTGTGGTCCAGTGCATTATCCCAAAGCACCACACCACCTGAAAATAAGTATTAAATTGGCTGAAAATGAATTAGCAATTAAAGATAATCAAAACTCCTGTCAAATAAATTCCCCCATACCAAAAAAAAAAAAAAGCATGAAAATGGCCAAGGATAACTTTAAGTTTTCAAAACTACTTCAGATACACAAAAAAATAACAATTTTGTTATAAGTCAGGGTTTAAGATATGCTTGAAAAATTCATTGTAATTATTGATTATACCTTGTTGTTTGTTGCTGTTGTTGTTATACCTTAAGCCAAGAAAACCAAACCCACTACCATTTAGTTGGTTCCAACTCATTGTGTCCCTAGCTAGAGTTTCCAGAACTGTAAATCTGTGTGGGGAGCAGACAGCCTCATCATTTTCAGTCAGAGTTACTGGTGAGTTTGAACCACCTACCTTGTAGTTAGCAGTCCATTGCTGATCCTACAGTGCCACAAGATAGTTTTAAATCATGTTAATTAAACATGCAAACAACAGTAAGATCTGTAGAATGGAAAATGATAATATATGTCCAGTTTTCTAAGTCCTCAGAAGCAACCCTTATCGCTGCCTTTATCTAAATACATGAACATATTTAAAAGAAATGTGTCAAGTGACCATGTACAATTTAGTCCTTTGACATGAAAATGGTCCTTTTCATGTCAAAGGACTAAATTTGCATTATTCTTTTAAAACCTAGCAACAATGTATTACTCAAACAAGGCAAAATTTAATGAAATATTGTTCTATTTATTGACTTATAATAGAATGTTGTATTGTTTAATGGTTCATCTAGATTTGTAATACATATGTGTATGTTTGAATTTGTGTGGTTTTATGTTTATATATGAAAGGACTTCAAAAGGTTTGTGGAAATGGTATTAAAAGATATATCTATATCTATATGTAGATATAGATATATATATCCTTAGAGTCCACGTGTGGCATTGTAGGAGAAGCTCTATCTGTCTATCTATCTATCTATCTATCTATCTATCTATCTATCTATCTATCTATCCTTATATATAGCTAAGATATATACATCTTTAGAGCTTAGGTGTGGCATTAAAGGATAAGCAGTGGAACTCAAGGTTGTTTTGAATTGCAAGGTCTGAGGTTCAAACTCAACAGCTGTCCCTCAGAAACCCAATACAAGGTTGCTGTGAGTTGTAACGGCCTCGAAGGCACGTAACTACAACAATATATGTATATTAGTGTTCTTATGCAATTATCTGTGTAAGAGTTTTATTCCTGCAAGTAGAATTTCTGGGTCAAAGGGTATGCACTTTATAATTTTGATAAGCATTCCAATTTACCCTCCATCAGAATTGCAATAATTTACCCTAAACAGCATATGAAATTAGGAATTTGTTCACAGCTTTTACCATGTTAGATAGTCTAATGTTTAGGTAGGTGAAATTAGAACATGAAAAAGTACAAACTCCCAGTTGCTTAGTGAAGTACCTGGCCTTGCTTAAAAGTATAACACTTCAAACATTCTGATTTCAGACTAGTTTTACTGGATCTCAATAGATTTAATAGACTATTGAGGGAAAACCCTAAAAGTAATATAAAAGTTTCATAGCAGTATGTTTCATTTAAAATACACTTAAATAAGGTTATAGATTCTTGTAAATTTAAATTGCTATGGAGTTGTTAAGTGTTGTTGAGTTGGTTCCAACTCATAGTGACCCTGTATGGGGTTTCCAAGGAATGGCTGGTAGTTTGAACTGCTGACCTTGTGGTTCAAACTGACTTACTGTCTAGTGCTTTATCCTACAGTGCCATACTAGGACTTGTATAGACACTACAGTATGCCATTTTTAGCCACTCTAAGTTCAGTGTTTTCAGTTTACCTATTAAGAACAGTTATATTTGCATGCAATGCCAATCATAACTTCAATTTTGAATGTTAGGTTACTGCTTCTGTTTCAAAGGTTCTTATGTCATGAAATGTGATTACAGGGCAAGAAGGCAGTGATGAAGTTCAGAAACTCTATGGACAATCCACAAGTAACCAATCGATATCAACTTCCAATCATTAACAATTATCTGATGCCTATTCCTCTTCCACCTCCTCCCCGAGATGGAAAATTTACAAGGGAAAATAGAACTGAAACATGGAGAAGGAAAAGATTTCGTCCAACCACTGTTCCAAATGGCTTAGAACCTCTCTTTACCCGGGTGACTATGGAATCAATTTTTTTCCTTTTATTAAGTTAACACAGAGTACATTTCACTATTAGATTTCTACATAAGCAGTAAGATAATTTGGAGATATCACATACAAAATGCTTTGTTTAAGCAGTTATAATTAGTTCATAAATGTAAGCTTGAGTGAATTTGAAACCAAGGATTTGAATACTTCAGTTGAGTAACTAATTTAACATATTCAATAATGAAAGATTTAGTGATTTTATGACCAAATTTAGTTTGAACTATATCCATTTCTAAATTAACTGTTTCTTTTAGTTTTCCCCACTCAATCACATGCTGTCTTAATGTTTGTAAAAGCAAAAAATATCTTATTAAAGTTTATTTTTAAAGATGAATGGCAAAATATTATACTTACAAAATATTTCTTTTAATGTTCTTTGAAGGTATTGTAGTTTGTTGAACTCAGTTTCTCAAAATACTAATAAAGAAAATAGTTCTAAAGCCAGTTAGTTTTTATACAGATACAGCCTAGAAAGATGGCAAAACAAAACAAAACAAAACAAAACAAAACTCTCAATTTTTATTTTGACCAATAGTAACTTTTGTTATTATTAGCAGATTGCTGAGTCAGCATGTTGCTAATAGAGAATCAGGGAGTAATGAACTAACATTCAGAAGACTGTACATGCTGGCTCTACAAAACTAACGTCACTCTCCAGTGCCCAAGATACCCCATGTGCACATTTTACTCTCAGCAGCTGTCCTTACCTCTAACCTTCTCACAAGATTGGCACCATCATTTTTGTGCTCATTTAAGTTTCCTTCTTTTCAATTCTATTTTATGATTTCTTTCTCTCTTTGTTATTGTCTCTGAAGGAACCTTGTATCTCTCATTTCTGAGGTGCACCCTTCAACTAATGCCCTCGATCTTACCCTTTTCCATTGTCCATAGCGTTCTCCTCTCCATTTGGGGTTTTTATCCTCCTTTTACTATATGCTCTCAATATACCCTTTTTCCCTCTCAATATATCTAGGCCTTACATAGAGTAACCTGCTCCTTTCCTCACATGCTTTCTGTACTGCAAAGTTCTATAAGGAGTACTTTATTATAGTTGAGTCTAATAAACAATGTCAAGCCACCCAGCTGACTAACAGAATGCTTATTTCTTGCTCATGCAAACTTCTATTGTAGACCAATTCTGGGATTTAGACTAAAGAAAAGCCTCTGTCTAGAGAATGATGGCCTCTTAGGCAACAAAACCTTGGGATGGTTTTCAGACAACCACTCAGTAGTAATAGCACATGTCATTTCTGCTCCGCCTTATAGCCATGGAGTGTGATGTATCATCATCTCACAGACAGAAGCAGTGACTTCAATGCATTTTGGACTTCTTCCTTCAGGTTCATTGGTTCTTGATCATATGCTACTTCTTGAAATGGTTGAACATCGACCATTTCTTTTTGCTACAGTGATTTTGTATTCCTTTCATCTTCTTTTGATGCTTTCTGCATCATTCAATATTTTACCCATAGACTCCAATACTGCATGTCAAGGTGTGAAGTTTTTCTTCAGTTCCCTCAGCTTGAGAAATGCTGAGCGTACTATTTCCAGTTGGTTTTTTTAACTCCAGGTTTTGCACATTTCATTATAATATTTGACTTTGTCTTTCTGATCATTTCTTGTCCCTCCTCAATTCTTCCATTCGCTTTAGCATCTCTATGATGGAGAGCAAATTTCAGAGTCTCTTCTGACATCCATTTTGGCCATTTCTTTCTTACTCTTCTTAATGACCTTTTGCTTTATTCCTTTATGATGTTCTTGATGTCATTCCATAACTCTTCTGGTCTCTGGTCTTTATCATTTAAACATCAGTTTAAACAACAGCAATTTTGTAATGTGTAGTTTAAACAACAGCAATTACGCAAACTCTCATGTATACATCACTATGTCTTAATGAAGCAGAATGTTACGTTCAGTTCAAAGTCCTTTATTTCCTGGCCCAACGCTTCCTCTCATCCTTTCTCTACCATATTGTTATCTGTATTGACAGCATCCCTTCTCCCTAGAGTCCTGTCACTTGTATTTATAAAATCTCAAAGCTGACATTGTAATGAAACTTCAGTATTTCTAAGAGAATGTATTGTAAAAAGTCTTTTTGTTAGAATGTGGGTTCAGCTTTCTTCACAGTTTTAAGCTCCTATTTTGGGAAGTCAGAGAGATACGGTCATGAATGTGCCCTAGAAAGCCTGGACCTCAAAGAATCAGGACATGTGGTGAGATCCTGGTGTAGGCCGGATCATGAATATCCAGTAGGGATATAGTGCGGAGAGTGGGCTTCTGACCTTGGGCATGGAGGAGACAACAGCAATGATTTCATCTTATATTCCTGAAAACTGAAGATGAGAATCTACTCAGGTTCCCTGGGCACTGTATCATCACAAACACAGTTTGGTGCCCTAGTTTGACAAATCTGAACATATGTGTCTCTTGAGTCCCAGATTTCTAGTCTGACTTTGCCTTTTTTTGTTGTTGTCCTTTCTTTTTGGAACCCTTATTTGGGACATATTAGAACTAACTAGAATTATACTCTAGTTATCTTAGTTTTTTCTTCTATTACCTATTTCTTTGTCTTTTTGTTGGCTCTCTGAAAAACGTCTACACTTTTATCTTTCATCTTTTGAAGTTGTTTTTTCTTATGGTTGCTGTTATTAAGTGCTGTTGAGTAGGTTCCAACCCTTCCAACCCACAGCGACCCTGTATAGGTTTTCCAAGGTGCAGCTGGTAAGTTTCAACGTCTGATCTTGCGGTTCAAACCAACTTTCAGTCCAGTGCATTAATCCACAGCTCCACACCAGGACTCCTTTCTTATGGCACCAGGCTTTAATTATAAGACTCTCTTTTGTGTTCACTGAATATTACTTTGTTAAAAACATCTTTTTTGTCTGTATCATTTTGAGTCTTACATATTTGTGGACATGGTTTATAGACGAATCAGTTTTTGGAAAGAAAGTGATAATCTAAATGATAGGTACAGGGTTCCATAACATTTTAATATGTAATAAAGATGCTGTTCATATTTTTATATCCTTAGAATTTTTCAATGTTTAGAATCTCAGATCCTGAGTTATAATGAAAAATAATTCTCCGTGATTGCGGATTTGCAATTATCCTATAATTATATCAAGTTTGTTTTGTAAGTGTTGAGAATATCTAGGCATATGCTCACAGGTTTAGGATTACACTATTTCACCAGTGAAGTGTTCTTTTATCATCAAAAAAATGATTTGTTGGGTCACTTATTACTTTTTGCTTTGAATCTATTTTGTTGATAGTACTTCATATTTTATTTTGATTAGTATTTAACTTGTGTGTGTATATTAAATGTTTTATACATGCACATATGTGTGTAACCCTTTTAGTTTCAGACTTTTTGTGTCTTTAGGTTTATACTTTAGGCTTTAAATGTATCCAAGCAGCATTTGAGTGGTTTGTGTTTAAATCAATCTGAGAATCCCTGCTCATTTAATAAATGACTTTAGTCCAGTTACATTTATTTGTATAGAAATGTAGACTTACTTCTGGTAACATAATAGATTATGAGCTGGACTGCTAACCACAAGGTCAGCAGTTTGAATCTACCAGTTGTTCCGTGAGTGAAAGATGAGGCTTTTCTGCTCTCATGAAGATTTGAAGCACTGGATACCCTACACATGGTCACTATGAGTTGGAAATGACTCAATGACATACAACTACCACCACCTACCATGTTACTATGTATTTCTATTTATCATTAGTTTTCTTCATAGTGATATTTTATACTATTTTTTGCCATGTATTAAATGGAGTCCTGGTGTGACATTGTAGGATAAGCACTGTACTGCTAACTGCAAGATTGGTAGTTCAAACCTGCAAGCCATTCCTTGAAAACCCTAAACATAGTCACTATGAGTCAGAACTGACTCTGACTCAACAACACTTAACATAGTTTCTGCTGAAAATGTGGATGAACCCCAAAATAGTTTTGTAAATGCAAAAATGTAGATCTCCAACTAAAAACACACTTTGTACTTTACCATTGTGTTTATAAATTTTAAATGTTTTTTTTAATTTCATATGTATTTTGTGAAAGAGCTGACCCAAGTATGTCCTAGTCTGAGGCTTTCTTTATATCCTATTGCAGCTTCCTATTCATTCCCAGGCTCTAAATTAGTACTGTGTCAAATCAGTCCTGGTGTGGTGCTATGGGATAAAGCACTGGACTGTAAGATCAGTTTGAACCACAAGATCGGCTGTTTGAACCACAGGGTCACTATGAGTTGGAACCAACTCCATGGTACTTAACAACAACAACTATGCCTCAAATTTGACATGGTTACAAATTAACACAGCTTCACAACTGCTAAATTTCTCTTAGAGCATGACCTTATTTTCTAGTCATCTGAGCTCAAAATCTAGAATTCTTTCTTTTATCTATATTACATAACAAAATTGCTCCTGAGTTGATTCCTACTCATGGCGACCCCATATTTGACATAATGGGACTGTGCTCTAAATGGTTTTCAGATGTTGATCAATAGGTCACTCTTCCATGATGCCTCTGGGTGGACTTTAATTGCCCACCTTTTTAACTGTTTGCACTCCTCAGTGATTCCTTCTGTATCACATATCCAGGTAATTTCTAAGTCATTTATGTGACAACTGTTCAATAAAATTATAATGCAAGCCATATATATAAATTTATATTTTCTAAATAGCTACATTAAAAATAGTTAAAAGGAACAGTGTAAGGAAAAGAAAGAGATGAAGGAGAGAGTCTTGGCTTCAACAGCAGGGCAGGCAAGTTTATTGAGAATAAACCTGGAAGGGGGTGCTCTTACATCACCAAAGGAAGCCAAGAGTTGTCTGTTCCCTTACAGACTGGGGTATTTATAGGCCTGGTGGTCTGGGTATAGTTCTGGCGAGTTTACAATGGGTGGGAGTATGGAGATTTGGGCGCGGGTATGGAGATTTGGGCAGGGGTATGGAG